ACTTGATATAATACTACTTAGTTTTGTGCCACGAGTAAAATTACTATTTACATTAATATTCTATGTTTTACACAGACGAAACCATAATATTTTCAAGAACATGAGAAAGACCAGGAAAGAAGGGTAAGGATCAGGTAAGTTAGAATTATCCGATACATCATATTGATTATTTTGCTTTCCATGGTAGTTTTAGAAAACTTGACGTGAAGAAAACAGGATTTTAGATGTTGAATGTCTTTATAGATATAAATGGTCGTAGTATAGAAATTTGTTTTTAAGTCCTGTTTTTTTAATAGGTGGAGTGAGCTGAATTACTGTTCATTGTAAGACAACCCACATTGACCTCTAAATAAACAGTCGCAGATAAGCCTTTATCTGATCTGTACATATGTACGTTGAGAAATTATGAAATTTTTTACTCTGCAATGAATTTTATAGAAGGGTGTTGTTAGTTTCTAGAAAACGCTCCTGTTGTGGATGAAAAAAAACTTATAGATAAGTCAACTACGTAGCCAATATATTGTTTGTTTGTTTGTTTTTGAATTTCGCGCAAAGCTACACGAGGGCTATCTGCGCTAGTCGTCCCTAATTTAGCAGTGTAAGACTAGAGGAAAGGCAGCTAGTCATCATCACCCACCACCAACTCTTGGGCTACTCTTTTACCAACGAATAGTGGGATTGACCGTCACATTATAACGCCCCCACGGCTGAAAGGGCGAGCATGTTTGGTGGGACGGGGATTCGACCCTCAGACTGCGAGTCGAACGTCTTATCCACCTGGCCAGCCAATATATAGGAGGAAAGAGGTTGTTAGAGCATGTTGTTCATTATAAATAAACAGCTTAAATGTGGGGAATATTTTGTAGAATCGCATGAATTCGAGACCGGCTTGCCTGGTCCAAAGTTTAGAGCTCTACGACAGGACCAATCTGTGTCTGTTACAGAGATGATGCAAGCTAATTTTTAATTTCATATTGTCAAAAACATTAGATAAGAAATCTATAGTTTTCATAATTTGGTCAAGACGTTAGTATTAAATAAGAAAAGTGTTCGTGAAGTTTACAATTTACATATACACTGAGTAGTCAGTCACAAGTAAATAGACACTTAATTTTTCGTCATTTAACTGATTTCTGCTAACTAATTTGTGTTCACAAAGCATTATATAAATGAAAATGGCCGCACACTAATTATCTTGTACTACAACATGCCAAGAACTCAAGGTTCTCTCGAATTGTCAGATTTTGTTAGAGGAAGGATAGTTGGTCAAGCAGATGGTGGAATAAGTCAACGGCAAATTTCGTAGAATTTGGGAATCCAGCTTTCGACAGTCAACAGAATCATCGTGCAGTTCAGGAAACACGGCAAGGAAACAACTGAGCACCGTCCGGGTCTATCGAGAGGACAAAAAGGGCTGTCAAGGGGAGCATCGAAATGGATCCAAGATTAACGACTGCAGAAGTGGCCAAAGTTGGTGGGATGAGCCCGAAATCTGTTCAACGGATTCTCCACAGATTGGGAGCAGAGCAACTAGACGGAAGCCCTTATTAAGACCTGCCAACATAGTCAGACGAAAGAAATGGGCAAGTGATATGATGACCAAGCCTCTGGACTTTTGGAAGACCGTATTGTTCTCAGACGAATCAAGATTCGCTCAATTTTCGGACAGTGGAAGGATATGGGTCTGGAGAATGTCTCACCAAGAGTTTTGGCTCAACAGATTGCTGCCAACTGTGAAGCATGGTGGTTTCAGCATGATGGTTTGGAGTGCGTTGGCAACATAGATTTTGCGAAGAACTGGAGAAAGGACTCTTGCCACTTTATTCCTCGGGTTTCGTGGACAAGAACACAACGTTGTTCCAGGAAGATGGAGCACCGTGTCACATTGCTAGAAACACCCAAAAGTGGCAGGAAGAAAATGGTATCCAGAAGTTGCCCTGGCCGAGCCAATCTCCTGACATGAACCCCATCGAAAACCTCTGGGCCATACTCGACTGGCAATTCAAGAAACAACAACAAAAGCCCACCTTCGAAGAGCGATCTCCTCCAAGTTTTGAAGCAAGAGTGGGCG